ACGGTGCTTTCTTTTGGTCGAATGGTTTTTCTACTCGCTGACAAGCATCACACGACTTAACATATTCTTTAATATCTTTATAACAATTGCCCTTCGTTTTATTGATCCCTAAATGACAAGATGTGTCTTCGTGACTTATCTTTTTAACTTGCTCCCTAAGTGTTTCCGGAACAACGATCTGATTTTTTTCAAACCCCAGTTTATCTATTTTTTTTCTCACTAAAACCCCATTAATTATTTTAAAATCAGTTTGATTATCCTCATTTTCAGCTAACTCAAATAATGGTACTAACTCTTTGCTTTTTTTCTGTTCTTCAATAAAAGTACTAGAGTCTATTTTAATAACATCTAGAGTCGAGTCATTTTTATCTAACTGAGGTAAAACGTCCATATCTTGTGAATCACTCTCTTCAAGTTCAACGTTTTCCTCTTCGACGTCTAACTCCTTGTCGACTAAATTTTCCTGATTTTTAATCTGTTGATTTTGAGACCTTGTAATAACGGCATTTACAGTTTCAATTTTTGAACCACCATTTCCCACAGATTGTTCAAAAAGAGACGCAGTTTCGNGTTCAAAAAGAGACGCAGTTTCGTTTCCTAAAAGATAACGTCCCTGATCTAACAAGGGAAACTAGGGAAGTGTGACTCGCCAATTTTGAAATAAACTAGTGGGATGTATGCCTTATGAGGAATAATTTTAGGGGGCAACATTCGTTTCGGCCAATAGAAGGTCCTATGAGAGATAAAAAAATAATTCAATATATAGAAAAATCGGTGTTTTATTACTTCAGATGCAGATTATTAGTCATTGTAATTACCTCATTCTCCAATTAATTTTTGTGTTACTTTCACGTACTATATAATGCATATTTATTGTCAAAATTGATTTCGAAAATTTTATATATCTGTAGTTTTTCCGAAAAACCTGTTAGGCTAATTAAAAAAAAAAAAAAAATTTACTTCAAACTTTTTAAAATTTTAAGAATTTTTTTCTGAAATAATTAGAGTATGTAATTGCAAATCAATTAATTAATCAATTAATAATTAATTAATAATTAATTAACTAATAATTAATTAATAATTAATAATTATTTAATTAATAATTAATTAATAAATTTGCCAATTAATTTATTAATTGGAAAAGTAATTAATCTACCAATTAATTACAAATTAATTGGAGTATGAGACAATTACAATAACTAATAGTCTGCATTGAAGTAATAAAATGCTCTACTTCGCGTGTAGGTCGTCGGGCTACCGAAGCGGGGGTGCCATCCCCTCTGCAGAGGATCAAAATTGTGATAGCATGTCTTCGGATCATCCTCAGGGATGTTTCCCAGACCGTCGCCTATAGCCCATTGTGCAGCTCCAGTGCGACGTGAATGAACTACAACAACAACAAGTAATAAAATACCGTATTTTCTATATATTGAATAATTTTTTTTTCTTTCATAGGACCTTCTATGGGCCGAAACGAATGTTGCCCCCTAAAATTATTCCTCATAAGGCATACATCCCACTAGTTTATTTAAAAATTGGCGAGTCACACTTCCCTAGTTTCCCTTGTAAGTCATTTCCGACAACTACAGCTTTAGTTGTTATCATGCCTAAATTACACTCTACATCAATTTTAGCGACAGGTAAACATGTCATATGGTTATCAAAAATATGTTTAACCCAAACGTGTTCTCCTGTCATTCTATCCCTACTGACATATTTCTGACAAACAACATCAACAGTTGCTCCTGTATCCCTGAGAATGGGCATCTTAAATCCATTTATTATTCCTTCAAAAGTATACGGATCTAATAAGTTTTTATCCGATATTGTTTCGATCCTTTTTGCCTCAGATTTGGGAATTCTAAGGTTAGGACAGTGTGGCCTGAGATGTTCCATAGAACCACATTCGTAACATCTTAACTTCCTTTTTTGGTCAAAAGAAATCTCTGATTTACTTGTAGAATTACGCGTTTCATTAATTTTCCTCCAAGAGAAATGTTTATCTTTGTATTTATAATCCCCAAAATTATTATTTCTAGTAGATTTATACATTGTTTTGTTTTTAGGTTCGTTAGGTTTAGATTTCCCATCAATGGTGTTCCTAGCATCTTCAAATTCCTCAATCTTTGTCACAAATTCTTTAGGTGACTTTATAGAGGCCCACTCTTCATGAAAGTTCTCTTTAAATTCAAGCGAAACCCTTCTTTTAATCTGATCTACTAACATTAAGTCTTTGAGCTCTTGAAAAGTTTCAATTTTAAGGCCTGCAAGCCACCCATCCTGATAAGCGCTTAATTCGTGATAGAAATCATACCGTTGAATCGGGATTCTTTTGTGATTTTACTAACAATTGTCTAAATTTTTCGGCACTTAATTTGAATCTTGTTAGTAACAAAGATTTAACATTTGGATACTCACGAGTTGATTCCTCTGACTCTCGGGCAATTAAATTATTTACTTCTGTCGGTAGTGTACCGATAAGATATGACACCCACCTGTCTGAAGGAATTTTTAACACCTTAACCTGTCTCTCAAACAGTTCGAGAAATAAACTTATATCATCTGTTTTTATGTTAAATTTCGGCATAAGCTTTTGAAAATTTTGACTAAAAGTAGAATCTACAATCGATGTAGAAACATTGGGATCGGTATCCTGTTTTGTTTTAAGGCATTCCAGTTCCAACCATTTTTTTTCTAATTCAAATTCTCTGTTCTTCTCCTGTTTTACTAATTCAAATTCCCGATCTTTATCCTGTTTCATTAATTCAAATTATCGATCTTTCTCCTGTTTCATTAATTCAAATTCCCGATCTTTCTCTTCCGTTTCTAACGTTTCTTTTTCAATCCTAGCATTTATCGTAAATTTTTAGCATTTTCCTAGCATTTATCGTAACCTAGCATTTTCACATAAATTTTTAACAAATTCTTCCTCATAGTTTGCACTACTAACTATCTTTTGTTTTAATCCAATTATTTTAAGGTCCTCCGAAACCTCTATTCCCAATTCTTCCACGATCACAAACAGGTCACACTTTTTAGCCTTACTTAAAAAAGAAATTTTCCAAATTTATAAATAGATCTTACTATAACAATAATAATAAATCAAGTAAATTATTCAAAAGAAAGCCTTAAAAATTCTTATAACTACCACTATAATTGGTTTACAAAAATAAGAGGAAATAGATCATTTATTTCTCCACTTGAACGTAAGAGAGAAGGGGGAAAAAAATATCACAACTTAATATTCAATTCTATAAAAAGAAAGTACTACTCTTCTTATTTACTAACCATAAAAATGAATTAAATTCAATTCTGCTACATAAATAACTCACTTCGCCAATCGGCTACTTATACCATAAACAGTCTCCTTTCCCCCTTTCAAATGAACAGAGGAAAAGAAAAAACAAAAACAAATTCTCATATATTTCTGCTGGCGCCAAAAAGGCTGACGCATCAAAGAGTCTATATTTCGTTTTCTTAATTCTAAAATGAGTTTCGCTTAACAACAATTAAAAGCAATCAAACTGAAACAACACATA